TATTTATTTTCAGTAGTCTACAGAATAATCCATTGTTATACAATAACTTGCCTAATTACCCTAACCTGCCTAGTTTACCTAATTAACCTAGTTAAGCCTTTAAATTTGTCACTTTAAGCTGTATAGAAGTGTTTTAAAAAATCTCTAGTCAAATATTATTTACTGTCATCATGACAAAGATAAAATAAATCAGTTGTTAGAAATGAGTTATTAAAACTATTATGTTTAGAAATGTGTTGAAAAAAAATCTCTGTTTAACAGAACTTGGGGGAAAAATAAACAGGGGGCTAATAATTCTTACTTCAACTATTTTTTTTTTCAACTAAAATTTTTTTTTTTGTCCCATTTTACATTAAGGTTTTATTAGTTATTGTTTGCTAATAAGAACTAAGTATGAACAGCACTTGTACAGCACTTATGAATCTTAGGTCAACATTACTCATGCATTCTTAAAATCCACATTCATGCTTGTTAACATTAGTTTATGCACTTTGCGTTAACATAAACTAACAATGAACAACTGTATTTTCATTAAGTAATGTTAACTATCCTTAATAGTTAATAAATCCTCAATACTGTAATAAAGGTGTTCATTGTTTGTTCATGTTCGTAAATGCAATAACTAACATTAATTCAACCTTATGGTAAAGTGTGACTATTTATTTATTTATTTTTTTTTTTTTTGAGTTTTTCAAATAGATTTACTGCATCAACATCTAGTGAAAATATGAAAATAAAAGTGTTTCTGTTTATTAATTTTTTTAGTTAATTTTATTTATAATTACAGCTGCTGTATGCCATATTACAACGCAATCTCACAGCAATTCGAAACCTTTTGATTTAGTGGCTAATTTGTTTTAAATCAAATGATCTCATTCCTCCTTTTTGTACGATCTGCTTATCCCCCAATGACGGTTGGTTTTAGTGGCAGGGTTGGGTGCCACGGCTCCTTTTAAAAATCATACACTTTCATAGGATTGAACTCGTACGAATTAGCCACTAAACTGACAAAACATAAAATAGATACTTTTCTCGTAATATCAGGCTGCATATTACAAATAGTTTTAAAAAACGTAATAAATTAAGTGGGAACTTAAATTACTTCAGCTTGTTACACCAACATGAATTAAGTTTTCACTTTTTACAGTGCAGTTCACTTCTTTAAATTCAGTGTTAGAAACAAGCTTCTGTATTAAAGAAACAGTTCACCTTAAAAAAGATAATACTTTACGCCCGTTTAGTTCCAAACCTGTATGTTTCTAGTTTTAAATGAAAAATACTTCACTACTAGTTACACTGCTATTTACACTAAATTTAAAACCGCTTGGGGTTTTTTTAAGCATGATTATAGATTGAAGTTAAAACCTCTCACTGCTTATACTGTGTTTACATAATAGGCAAAATATGTATCAAAATGGCATTTTTCTAAAAGTGTTTTTAACCTGTACATGACATTGGCTAATAAAACACTGTGACATAATTAACATACCTGAAACATATATATATATATATATATATATATATATATATATATATATATATATATATATATATATATATATATATATATATATATATATATATATATATATATATATATATATATATATATATATATATATATATATATATATATATATATATATATGTGTATCTCAGTCACAAAGAGAGAGAGATAGACATACATACATACATACACAAAAATAAATAAATAAACTCAAAAACAAAAAAAAAAAACACATACATACACGCACACACATATAAATATATATATATATATATCAATGTCTCTCTCTCTATCTCACACTCACACACACTCACACACACACACACACACACACACATATATGTGTATATATATATATATTTATTTGTTTGAATGTGACTCATAGATATACACATACACATGCGCGCGCGCGCGCGCGCGCGCGTTTTT